TATACATGTTTTAATTATATTAATTTAATAATATCGATATAGTGCTTCGGACTCACAATGGTTCACATTTCCTAGTAATAATAATGATTTGTTCAGTTAAAGGAAAAACAAAACTTTCTTGTACAAATAAATTTCTGCGTTCTATTAATTCAACAAAGCTACAAGTGCTTAGTTGAATAATTAGAATTAGTAATGGTAGTAGCAAAAAAAACTTAATTTACTGTATATTGTGTTTAAAATATTTATCGACAGACTATTTTTCTACATGTGTTGACAATGATTAATAAAAAAATGAAAACCATCGTTTAATATTTATTATAATAGACGAAATAATTTTTCTTAATAAAATTATTCGATACAAACTTGAAAGCAGACAAAAAACTAAGGTGATTACTGTAACACTTTTGTTGTTCTCTAAGCGTAATTCTTATAATATTTTTTTCTCACTGAGTTATCTATATAGGCAGTGTTATCGTCACCAGCGAGTCTGTCACTAAAACGGTTCACTCTTCGCGTGACGATAGTCCGAACGCTTGGATTTCGGCACTAAATAAGGTAAGGCTTTAACTCCGAGGCGGTTACAATTTGGCCGACTTGCGCACTTGCTAATCTCTTCTTGACCGTCTTTTCCTCTAGGCGCGTCTCAAGATTACAAGTGTCACTCTTACAGTGCAAAAGGTAACGTCGCGTCTTTTCCTTCTTAAAGGCGTTTACTTTTAATGTAGTCGGGTCGACTTCGTGTACACTTTAAAGAATGTATTTTGTTTGTTATGCAAAGCGAGATAGCATTTATTTTATTAAAAACGTGAGTGTGCAAAAACAAAGAGGCGTTCTGAAAAACGAAACTTTAAAATCGCGGAATTCGAACTCTCCCCTCCAAACTACATAAACTACCTATTTATATGATTTCCTGACGCGTGTTTACCCAGTACCTGCTATTATCAATTATTACATCATTCCACCATCACCAATACTTATTGTTACGCGACGCGCCACAATATCACGTTCCTATCCCTATTGTTCCCACAACAGCAGTTATGTTGATTTTGCATTTAAAATTACTACAGAAGATTCGTAAGGCAAGGCACGTATAATTAGAATGTATCACTAAGCAAAATACTCGTCATCAATAGAAAAAATGTAGATACAATAGACTAGTAAAGTGTTTTGAAAAATATTAAATAAGCTATTGATAATGTTAATAACTATATATAACTAATATTTTTTATTATTTAATTAAAAAAACATATTGTAACGGTATAGCGGCGAGTCTGTCGATCATTCTAGCAGAGATTCGCATACCCGTTATTAGATAAGTGAACGAAAGGGTGATTTGAGGCGTGTTTTTATTTGATCGAGTCTTTATTAATTTTCTATCTCACATTTTTCTCACTCCTTTCATATCTCTATACTTTTACATGTTATTTATATTTTTCTTTCTTTACATTTGGCTATGGCGGCTTGGTCATGAAATAATAAGTGCTAATACAATGACATGGCTAAAGCTAGATGACGTAACCCCTTTTCACAATTCTCCCTGTCCTTCCTTTATTACCTCATTATCACAGCCGGCTTACCATTGTCGCGACGATTAATCACGTGACCTGACGTCGCGTTACGTTTCTCCCTGTTACAATATCTTAAACAATGAAATTTGATAATGCTTTTATAGGTATCTTTCACATTTACCTAAATTTGAACGTAACAAATATTATTAAAATATCGGTATATCGCATAAAATAGTAATGTATATGCATACTGTACCTCTAATTATTTCTAGACATTTGACTTAACCTATATGCCTTCATTGATTTTTAAAGTGTTTAATATTTGTCACCTTCAATATTTCATAACATTCAGACTATATACTTCTTTTTTCTATAATATAGCATTTTATCATTATATGTAATATACTTGACATGTAGTAGTGCTTAATCCTTTTTGCAATCTAAATTCGAAAGTGTAAAGTTAATTTATTTATTTGGAAAAATTTAATACAATACTTTCTAAAAGAATCTTTTGTTGTTTTAGAAATACTTGCATTATTTCATTAAATGACAATTATTTTATTCTTTATAATACCGTAGAAGGTTGTAAAAATGTTTAGCAAATTAATATATCTGAGTTGTTACGCTATCTACATTTAAAAACCTCATTTGTTTAAAAATAATTTTATGCCCAATAAAATTATTTTTTCTCTATTTTCAGTTAAAAATAAACTATTTTTATTTCGCGTGACGTAAAGTAAATTTTTTATGTTTACATGCATTGTTAATGTTCACGCGACATAACGTAAATTGTTTTCTGTTTCACAAAGTAAATTGTAATGTTCACGTGAAGAATGTAAAGTAAATTGTAATGTTCACGTGAAGAATGTAAAGTAAATTGTAATGTTCACGTGAAGAATGTAAAGTAAATTGTAATGTTCACGTGAAGAATGTAAAGTAAATTGTTAATGTTCACGTGACGTAAAGCTTCATGTGAAGTATGTAAAATGAATTGTTAATGTTCACGTAAAGTGTGTAAAGTAAATTGATTTCTGTATCACGTGAAAAACTTGTTTTCTGCTTCGCGTGTAGGAAAGGTAATACAGCATTATTTTTCCATTTACCATTTTCCAAAATTATTTATATATGCGTATGGTGACACATCGGCAATTACTTCCATGTCCCCTATTCTATCCGTATGAATAATAATTCATCAGCTATTTAAACTTGTTGGGTGTATTCATGAACTCGGTATTAAAATTTTTTAAAATGAAAAAATTCTTTATTCAATCACAACTACTACGATATATTAATCCATTATATCAACCGACAATCCTTCCTGATTACCCACAGCCTCACATAGAGTGTACCGGTATAAATAATCATGTGATCGCTATTTCGAAAAATAACGTATATAGGCCTTTAAATAAGATTTTTTTTTTTATTACCTTGATAAAATGATTCACCTTTAATTTTAAATGGTTAGGTTACTAGAAAAATTGAGGAAAACAAGCCGTGTATTGAAAAACCATTTAGAGAAGAATATGTAAAGAGTATCAATATCAACTACAATGAAATCTATGTATTAGAACATATGACGAATGGAAGCACATGTCAAATTAAAAAAGCAATGTGGAACAACGGAATTAAAAATATAATTGTTGTTTTAAAACTTATGGAAGAAAAATCGGGTGAACCTGAATACACGGAAGTTATTAGAGAAGTATGTGTTTGACATTATTTGCGCTTGATATTATAACTGACTAACGTAAAATTTATAGCTCAAAGTTTATTCTTCGATAAATTCAAAAAGCATTCACGAAAATATTATCAGATTCTATGGATTAAGGTATATCTAGTTTAAAAATGTTCTTATTATAATTTTTGGTAACATGACATGACTAACATGTTGGCCATTCTGATTATCCAGTCGATGTATGTACTGTATATTTATACAACTGTATGTTTAAAATTATATTTAATAAATATTCGTTGATTTTTTAGCACTAGATGGATATATAATGATCCTGGAATATGCTGAGTTAGGTGATCTACGTAGATATTTAACGGATAAGTATTCGGAAATTACATGGGAACAAAAGATTGATATTAGCAGACAAGTCACTTGTGGACTAAGCTTTCTACATGCCAATAGCATTTTACATAGAGATCTGGTAACCGCATATTTACCAAACTGATTTATTATTATTATTTGCAAGAAATTTACGTATCTGTCGTACATTTATTTTTAAGCATACAAAAAATATAGTTTTATCGGCGTGCGATGAAAATCCCAGTAAAATTAAAGTGAAAATAACCGACTATGGGATGTCAAAAGATTTATCTCGTAAAAGTTTGACAATCTCGATAGTACAAGGTTTAATAGCATTCCTAGATCCTATAGTTCTGAATGAAAATAGTTATGCTAATTTTACGAAAAGATCGGATATATATAGTTTGGGCGTGGTACTGTGGGAGATATCGAGTGGAATACCACCATTTAAAAATTGGAATTATTATAATCTTTCCTTGGCCTTATTAAGGGGTGAAAGAGAGAAACCGATACAATATACTCCGTGTAAATACATAGAGACCTATCGAAAATGTTGGACCAAAGATCCTAATCAACGTCCGGATGCCAATCGCATTTATAAAGAACTTAACCAAGAAATAATAATCACAGGATCTGTTTTTAGAAAAGAGGAAAAATGTTGTGATTATTATCCTCATAATTCATCTACTTTCGAAAACATGTTAGACAACTCAGGTATTAAACTTGATTCTATGCATTAAATATGCTTCAACACTTATTTTTTAAAAATTTATAGGAAATATAACCAACTCTTTTTCAGATTTAAATATAAACGGTATGGATCTATTTAAATAATAATTATACTTAAAGTTATTAAAAGCTTCATTACAATATTTACTTTGTAGAACAAATCGTCGATTTACAATTGGTAGAACTTCTTCAAGGAATAGAAAAACGATGTACCAATCAATCTGGTAAGTATTATGCGATTTACAAAAATTTTTTTCTCACAATTCTTACAACTGGTTTTTTATTTAGCCAGTGAAATAATGAAATCAGTTAAGCAAAATGCTCCTACCTTATTTGCTAAATTAACAGACTCAGATAGTTCCATTGCTCGTAAAAACATGTTTGTGTCCCCTAAACTCAATCTTTTATGTTTTCTTTTTCTTATTTCCTTTGGTATTTACATAACTATCGACCCAATGACATGATCAAACGACCAAAAAATATTCTATTCAGTAGTTGTGAAATATATATATACCATATACATGAGCTTTTATATCAATTATAATAAGGTTTAAGGAATGATATAAATTATGTAGCCTTAGATATTTTTTTCGAAATTAGACTAAATAGAGTTTCTTTACAGTTCATTGCCAGCGATGTAAGAAAGCAATACCAGACCACTGACGGTGTTTTATTACTATATAAATAATATTCAAATAAATGTACAAATAGGATGTAAGAAATTTTAAAGATCAATTATTTCGCATTTTTATGTATGCCGCATCTTCATAATTTTATTCATCTCATAATGTTCCTGTTTGTTAAAATGGCTTTATTTCCTCATTTCATTAAAATACTGTAAATATTATGCTATTCTTTTTTTCACTATTTGACGTCTTTTTTTTTATCAAATCATATCTAATTGAATTTTATATATTAAAATTAAGTACAAAGTCCTTGGATTGATTAAAATAATGACTAAAGTTTTACATATCTATTCTTGAAAACGTAAAACCGAAATATTAAATATACTGTATAATGAATTCATTAAATAATTATTTATAGATTCATAAAATAATTATTTTTTATTTAATAGCTAGTGGATACCCGTGCCATTGACAGATTTCATACGTCATATATGATGACAACTTGTATTCAATTTATTACAATGTCATAGAGCTCGGACATTCAATTGAGGTAACTAAAACGAAGATTTATTTTATTACTAACATTCACTAATATCTTGTGTTCTTTTTTTAAAAAATACATTTAATCTTGCTAAGGGCAAGAGGTGGGTAATTAAAACGCATTCTTCATTTTGCTTACCTCACTTGTCCATTTCCCAATATTCTTTGTAGAGCTCAAACTTTGTATAAATAAATTTCTTTTTATAAGTAAAACTCAGATCAGATAACTAATGTGAAAATTTTTATTTACTTGCTATATTTATAATCTTGTAAACCACAGAGTTCTTTTTTATAATTGGTATTATATCCTAATAAAAATACTAATTTACTAAGTAAATTGATCAGTGTTCATGGTCAAGATAGTAGAGAGATTGGCCTTGACTTCTGAATATAAAAGATTGCAAATAATATAATATGTCTTTCCATAAGTTTTAACAAACAAGTCAAAATAATATTTTAATCAATTATATTTAACAAGTAGTCAAGATACTAATAAAATATCCTCAATTTATTTTGCAATAGTATTTGTTATAGTAGAAAATAGGATCTTAAATTAAAAACAATACAATAAATTCAAGATTTTATTTTAAAAAAAAAGTTTTAAAAAAATTCAGTAAAAAAATTCCAATATATTCTAATAATAACTAGGACTCCTAACAATACCACTTCAATACTTAAATTTACTATAAAATCATATAAGTAGGATACATCCCATATATTAAATTTACTATAAATCAATACTATTTCAATACCAATTCAATACTTTTCAAAAATCTAATAATAACCTGTATAAATATTTTTGTTAATAGTTTTAATTTTTTATACACAATAAAAATTATATTCTTTTGAATTGATTACCTTTACAATTATATTGTAAGCTGTAATTTTTAAAAAATTATTATTGATTTGTAATAGTAATTGTTAATAAAAGATTGTTTTTTATAGAAGTTAAATAATTATGTATTATTGTTGTTCCTAAAGAACTAAATTATATTAAATAAAAAAATTAAATTTATAAGATTATTAACTAAAAATAAAGAATAATTTCTTTTATAAACTCTTTTCATAATATCTGAAATTAATTGTTAAATTATTTTAGATATCAAACTTTTTTTTTACTGCCATTAACTTTAAAAGATCATATAATTATAATTAAATATTTGTTCTCATTGATTAAAAACTAATATATTATTTAAAACAATATTTTAATTAAGGTTTTAAAAAAAATTAAACTGATATTGAAGTGATATTGAAATAATATTAATATATAATAAATTTAATATAAAAGTTATTATTTACTTATATAAATTTATAATAAATTTATATATTAAATCAATATTAAAATAGTATTAAAATAATATTATTAAAAGCACTGGTTTCAATCTATCTTAAAGATATCAGTATAGAATATTATTTTTAAATATTATTTTTAAATATTTTGAAAATAGATTTTTATTATTTCAAGTTTCTATTTTTGTATTTATTTCAATAATTGAAACTTATTTTCTAAAAAAAAAATAAAATAACTTTTAATATTATTCTATATAACTTAATTTTGTTTTTTAAAAAAAATTATAAAAAAAGTCTTGTTATAAAAATTATATAGATTATAACATTTAATATTTCCATAATATTAATAATTTATATATATATAATTTTTTTATTTTTATTGTAGTCTTGTACTTTTTAATAATATTTTTAATATTTTTTATTTATATCTTTACTAATAGCTATATTAAGTTTATATTAAATTTTCTAAATTCTATTATAATATATATTTTAATATAACTTTAAAAATATTAAATTTATATTAAAATAATATTGAAATAGTATTGATTTTTAGTAAACATAATTTTAAAATAAATTTAAAGAAAAAATAAATAAAAAGTAAGATAATAAAATATTAGTTTAGAAGTTTAATATAACCAAAACTTATACAATGATAATATTAGATTAGCTTATCATATTTATTTTTTATTTTTAATTCCACTTTAATTAATGAATTATTATTTATTTTCTTTATATTTATTTTATTAATATTTATATTTTAATATTTATTTTTTTTTTAAATTTGATAATTTGTCTTTTAATTGAAAATGATAATAATAATATAAAATATAAAATATATTGGTTTGGATTTTACTCTTGATAATAATATAATTTTAATAAATAAAATATTTTATTTAAATAATTTTTGAATTTTAAATTTTATTATTTTATAATTTTTTTTCATTTGGATTTTAAATATAGGTATAAATAATTGATTAATTGAATTTATATAGATTGCTATAATAATCTTAATTTCTAATGAATTAAAAATACATACTAATTAAGAATTGATTAGTCATATAATATATATCCCTTAAATCATAGGAGATTTTTTTTATAACGTTTAAAATTTTTTAACTAAAAAGTTGCTTTTCATTTATTTTTTTAAATAATCAAAATATTTT